GAGAGATAAACTGAAGCCGGGAACATTGCTGTGTTTACAATAACTTATCTCAACAGAGCAATCATTTCAACATCCAGGCACCCCCTTGAGGAGCGCAAAAGTTTAGGCCGAGTATCATGTACGAGTGAGCTATCGCATCTTGGCTTTGGTTACCATGTAAAATACACAAACTCCAGAATCTCAGACGGCAATAACACAAAACCTCAACGAGCAGAAAGAAAAAAACACATGGGAAAGGGCTGGAGAAGAGCCTCTTGGTAGATTATCGAAGTGGACAAGCTGTCGCAACGCATTTACAGAACGCAGAAATCCCAACTATGAAGCTGTGGACACCGAGGAGCCGGAGAAGTTTAAGGAAAAGGCTGCAAACGTGATACAGATGAGGCTTCTCTGTTGTGTGCATATATCAGGTCCAAATGTGAAGAGAAGCTGGCACACGGAATGGTGTTTTGAAACAATATCATATGATTCACAAAACAATACGGTACAAGTCCACGGACACGTACAGAGGGATTGGCTCAGACATCACTACAACAAAGCAATATTGTACTTAAAAGACACGCATGTATCAATTTCTGCAATTTGTCCAAAGCGGGCTTATTGAAGTCATTATTGTCAGACATTTATAAGCAATCGGTGGCAGGGAAAAGAACAAATACAACTTGAACCTTTGCACTGTCATGTTTCCAATCACAAATAGGACTTTCTGGATTTTTGAAAGACTAGAACAACGTAACAGACAATTGCGAAGTGAAAAGAAACGGATAATAATTCTATAAAAAGACATACCGTGCCATTGAAAAAGTCCAGACGACTCCTGAATGCTCACGTCTTGCCCTAACAATTACATTTATTAAAAGTCCACCTGAGTGTAATCTACTCTCAGTACTGCTCTGTAATGTATGTTAAGGGTGTGTTGGTCCCTAAACAGTATCCTCACGTACAAAGAGCACACCAGGGAGGTCAGGAATAAAGTTTGGAGAGGTTTAAAGCAGTGTTAAGTTATAAAAAAGTAATATCATGAAGCAAAGAGAGCAGGAGACAAATCCTATCTCATTTTATCTTTTGCAGACCGCTAAGACAGAGCCTGAGAATCAATATCTAACCAGCCACCATGCCACCAAACCGGGAGGAATGGTGGCTGAGTGGAGCTTGCATGTTCTCCCTGTGTCTGCATAAGTTTCCTCCGTGTACTCCGGTTTCCCCTACCACTAAAAACATGTGCAATAGTTCAGGGTAAATGAGTGTGTGTTCGTGAATGTGGGACGACGGATGCAAAATAACCCATGGCTACAATCCGGAGTGATGTGTTCATGAACATGTACTGTCCCAACCAAATAAACAATACATTAACACCATTCTGGCAGAGGGCGGTTTGACCAATTCATTCACTTTTCTGTCTGAAAAAGATCAAAGGGCAAAAAAACCAAAGTTGGATGGATTAAATATAGTTAAGTATGTTTATGTGTGAGAATTAAGAGCCTGAGCAAACAGTTGGAGTGTAGAACTAAAACTGTACTTTTAGTTTTTAGGTCTAACTTGAAGTAGACTTAACAAAAGTCAGGGATAAGACTGACACAAAAACAGAACATCCAAACTGACAGCAGGTCAGACTGCTTTGGATATTGTGACCAGACAGTTCTGTGGCAGCTAGGTCAAACACTACCAGTGGAAATATTATATTTTCCACAATTAGGCAAAGAATAAACTGGAAAATAGATATGAACGGCACAAACAGTACAGACGGCTTATCTTGACCCTTATTCATCAAGTTGCAGGATATTATCAGGATACAGGGCAGTTTTTTCTCATTAGACAAAAACACCAAATCCTTGAAATTACTTTTACTTGAAACTATGTAGTGAATATTAATGTGAAAAGATAAAAAAATCAACAAACCCCCTGAACCGTGTGATATCATTCAACAAGTGAATTTAATCAAACCACAATCATTTCATTGTAATCCTGAATCCACGCTCAGAACAGATGGTCTGAGAAAAACAGTCTTTCATCATTCTGAACTCGGCAACAAATACCAACGTAATGCATGGAACTACAGACACTATAAGCCAAAATAACAGAAGAAATCTTCCCACATTCTTTTAAAAATAACTCACGCTTTGTAACACCAAGTAAGAAAACACGGGACTGGAGATAAGTGAAAGTGCTACAAAAGACAGAAGCAGACGCAGAAAAACAAAACAAAGCAGGACACGAGCGGCCTTGGATTTTGAGGCATCAGTATCAGACCCATGTGAACACTTCTTCCAACGACTTTGTGATTCTTGTTTTGTCAATACCAACTTAAAAGACTGCAACTTTTCCCCTTTTTTACCTCCAGCCTAGCCTGGCCATAGCCATCCGTCCACTCCGCTCAATCATCATTTCACTGCATGTAACGTCTGGGTCTGGTCCCTGTGTTAGCGATTACAATCGGTTGAATTTCGACCGGCTACTCAGAGAGCGCGGAGGGCGGGTGTTGTAGGTCGGTGCCGGTGACGTCAAGAGTTTGCAGGTTGTAGTTTGTCAATGGAGAAGAATGCGATAGTAAAGTAATCCGGTCTGGTTCTATCAAGAAATTGAAGCAGGAGCAAAAGGAATGTTTAGCAAATGTAATCGCTGGTCAAGATTGTGGCGCTACTCCCCACGGGCTCCGTTAGCAGCAAAGGAGATGGCTAAAGCTAGGCTAAATTCTAAATGCTAACAACACACTCGGGCGCATTACATACGTCACGGTAAACTCAGATCCAATCGTTTCAATCTGCAAAAGGAGTTAACCCCTCCCACCTGTTCACGGAGCTCAATGGAGCAAATCCACACCTTAGAATGAAATGTAATTTGTACTATGGTGTGGTACGACCAGGCTACCTTCAGCCCATCCAGGAAATCCAGGAAGTGTGCTGTAGCATGCTTGTTGTTGCTCACTTTACCATCAGGAGACTGAAATGTTTAACCACAATTTGTACCTGTATTAATCCCAAAGTTTCTCAATATGAAGCTTCCAAAACTGAGAGAAAGAATAATAAACTAAATGGATGACTATAAATACGCAGCATATTCAGGGTTTGGATGTGAACAAAAGTGATTCACCCTCTTACATCTTGAGCAAACTGATTTATGATGTATTTGCAGATTGAACTTAACGAATAACATTGCACACGCTAATGTACTTTGCACCCATTGTTTGGCACCGAGATGGATAGTTATACCTCTTAGTACACTGCTGTCAACAAAGCATATGCTGTTTATGTAGTAATTAAGAAGCAAAGTAGTAATGCGTGTGTGATTGATCAAAAACATCAAGGATTTTTAAAAACATTCATCCCTTTTCTTCCCCTTAATCCCTTTCTGGGTCGGGGGGTGGCAGTCAGAGCCAGTACACATAGCCCCATCACTGATCCTACTGCAGGTGGCGAGTCCACAGGAGCCTTAATCTTTCAACGGGGGCTTCAGGCAAAGCGTCTTTGTTAAGTGTCTTGCCCAAGGACACAATGCCAGCAGACATCAGTGGGAGTCGTGAAGTAGGTCTTACGGTGGGCTCGAACCCACAACCTTCAGGCCCAAAGCCCAATGCTCTACCAACTGAGCCACTGTCGCCCCAATATCTTTTAATCATGCCACATGTGACGTTCCCTTCTTCAGACGTAATTAATATGAAAGACATATTAATGGAAAATCCTTGACAGATTTTGTAAACAATGCATCTGTAAAATGTGTTTGGAAACAAAACTGTAAACTTCATTTGGAAATAGCACTTGACCGAGGGCTGTTATCCTTTTCCTTATCATAGTTTCCACACCCTTGGCATTGTGGGATAGCTGTAATTGAAAACATCTCAGTCTCTAGCAGTTTCTGGGTACAAAAAGTGCAAGAAAAAAAGATAACTTGACAAGGTAAAGAAGAAACAGGCATCGCTCTTCTGTCCAGTTGTACACAATACTTCAATATTCAACCCAAACTCAATATTCATATCAATGTTGTTTGATAAATGATCAATAAGAATCTATGATCACGTCAATGGAGTAAACATACAATCTATAATCTACACAAATTCTTTGGTCTTTTTAAAATCCATGCAGTGATGTATTTTATGTTGAACTACCCAAAAACAATTGAAGAGAGGAAAAAATAAATATCAATAAATATAAACATAATAGACATACACATCAGGAAACAGGCTTTTGGAAACGGCTCAATGCATGTGCTGTGGCAAAATAAACATATACATTAGAGTTATGCGCAGCAGAAGAGACCTTTGTTCACCGGCTCAGTGGTGTAACAACAGTACCTCCTTGTGGCACCTGGACTATAAAATACTGCAAGAAAATAGAGGAGTTAGACAAAATTAACATTAATATATATGTTTTTAAATGTATTTGCTGAGGATAGCCACAGTGTTCATTGTACGATCATATTATTGTTATTGAAGTATTGCTGTAACAATACTGGCTTCAAGACAAATGGGACACATCTGTTATACTGCAAAAATCCACACTGACGGACCCAAATACATCAACATTAAGAGAAAAAAGAAAATGTATTCATAATATATATTGTAAAATGCATTTCAACAGCAGCATATTGGCTCCATCTGTGTCAGCTGGTCATCCTGTCTTCATACCGTAAGACAGTAAATAAGTAAGTAATCTTTATTTATATACCGCCAGAGTCACAAAGCGGTTAACAATTGTTTTTTTTGTTTTTCTTTACTTATTTTCCGACCAGTTTATTTATTTTCAGACCACTATTGTACATGTTTTTAGTGGTAGGAGAAACTGGAGCACCTGGAGTAAACCTAATCCAGGACCTTCTTGCTGTAACCACTGTGTCACCTTGAAGCAGCTCAGGTTAGCATCATCAATCAAAGCAAAAAGTTGTTATTGCTCATCCATAATCACTTGATCTGAAGGGTAATCTCAAAAGTGTAGTAGAATCACTTCTGAAGCCGTGTTTGGAAGGATGCACCCTGGAAATATCTTCAAGCGGAAAAGAACACCCACCTGTTCTTTTTGGAGTGCTCGTCTTTGCCTTTCTTGACGCCAAATATCCGCGTGATCAAAGTGCTGAAGAGGAGAGTGGAGGAGTTCCTCACCTGGCATCGAAAAGGCACAGTTACCAAAGCTGGCAGCGCGATCAGAAACAGTGACACGGCAGTTTGAGAAACCCTAGGAGACAGTGTGCCGTGTATATACTTGCGTTCTCGGTGTGCCTTCGCTAAATGCAGCTAAACCTGGAGTGGAAAGGAACATTTTAAGTCTGGTGTGAAACCAATGGCGTGTATGACGAGTCTGGGTTTTGATCTGCTGGTTCAGTTCAGGGGTAAATGCTCTTTCTTCCCAATGAGCCACAAAACCTCACAAATAAGATGAATCTCCTCAAACTAATCACTGATTCTGTTGGCGAGGGATGAAGCACGTTTGGTTTGTATCTTAATTCACGTCATGCCTGGTGATTTTTACGCCAATATTCTGTGTATATTCAGTGCATTGTGGCTTTTGTCTGTAAAATGTCTAATAGTTTTTGGAATTATTTGTAACTCGACCCTCTGAAAATCAAAATAATACCTTTCCAATCTGATTATGATATATTTTGCTCACAATACATCACCTCAATCGCCCTTAACTATCAACATTTCCAAACGCACACAGAAAAGTGAACATGAAGCCTTCCATTTAACATGTACTTTAATATTCAAGACAAAAGGTCAATAGATTCTTGTATTTGGAACCACAAATACAAGAAACCATATATGATCCCATGTTTTAAAACTACTTCTTGTAGGTGTGATTGAGATTGTCTGTTTTTGTACTCACAGCCCAAACAGCGGAGGTGAAGCCCAGCACAGCGGCCTGCATCCCCTCCGACACAAACGGAATGATGTTTTCCCCCAGTCGAGTGTCTCTGTAGAGAGCTCTGAGGATGTTCAGAGCGTGCACCTGAAAAACAGACACAAAATCAGCTGTTTTAGTGAAAGAGCTGTGACCCAGGACAACAATGGGAATGGTTTGCGTGACGTGTTAAAATATAAGGCTCTAAACAAACTTGCAACTGTTACAGTACATTTAACTACATTAAAAAGGAAAGGGAAGCTTGTGCTAAAGTACTGTCCCTCCCAAGTATGGTTGATTTGAGTGGAGTTTTCCCTTCCTCACCCGTTTCAAATACAAGCGCAAACAGATAAAATTAATGGACAGGTGAGAGAAGCCCCTGTATTCTCCTCCAGCAAATCTACTGTTGGTAGTTATGACATGTCTGCACAGTCGAGCCCCTGCTGTCCTGAGTGCTCTCATGGTTCCTCTGAGATCCTTCACACGGGGCTCCTCTAACGGGAATGTGAAAGTGCCCCTCAGGAGAACCACATTCGGACAGTCGGCCTTCTCGGTCCAGGGGGCAAAGCTCTGGAACTCTTTAAGCCCTCAGCTAAAACTAAACTCTGACCGGGCTGGTTTTAAACATAAAACAAACCAGGTGTGTGAGCATCAATGATCTGCTTTTGTATAATATTAATTTTTAAATGTATAATGTGTTTTAATTGTGTTAAAAGCCCTCCTAGGGACGGACATTGCAAACTAGCCTTGGCTATAAATGTTGTAGTGTTTTCTCATGTTGATTGTGTACACTTGTCCCTATCAAATAAATAAATAAATGACAAGGAGAGAGACCTATTAAATATTGTTTTTGTATATTTTCCTCATAGTAAATCAAAGGGCCAGGTGATAAACATATGTATAGAAAACAAGAAGATAATGTGTGTTTTATTCAGTGCAACAACGCAAAGATACAAAACCTCAACAACTTAAAAATGAATTTAAGTTGTGTCAAATAGTTCTGGATCCTGTGCCCTGCTACAATACAAAACAAAATAAATGTCACTGTATTGTTCCCCAAATCACATTTTCCAATCATCATCTTGTGACCTGTGTTTTGAAACCCAGCTGAGTTGAAGGCGGTCATCAGTGCAGAAGGAATCCCCGTAATCATGACTTCTAGCTTAGCACATTTTCCCATATAGTCATAAAACCATCTGAAAACACTGCACTTTGCTCAACCTTTTGTTCATTGCTGTACAAATCATCGCATGTGGAAACAGCTTGGCCTGGTTCTTCTATACTTTCCCTTATCGTGGTTTCTAACGGATTTTTCAAAACCTCAAAAACACTTGTCACAAACAGCCTGTCATGCAGATGGTAGTTTAGGGCCGTGTGTTGCTGGGTGGTCACCTGGGGAACACTGGCTCTCTCTGTGACGTGGTCTGATGAGGGCGTGGCCAAAGCAATCAGCTCCCGCATGGTCATCTTCAGCAGGCTGCAGCTGGAAGACTTGGGCTCCGAGGAGAGTAGAGCCTATGAGAAGATACAAAATTTAAATGTTCTTGTGAATTTACCTTGGACAAGAGAGACAATGTGCATTATTGATTTGTGAGATAGAGCAGATACATAGAAAGAGACAAAACAAGAGAGAGGGGATACTGCTGTGAAATCAAATCATAGACCACATCTCTGTGGATGGAATGCAAAACAAAAATGCAGCCTCGTTTCCGCCACAGACGTCCCATTTCCTTTTTAATACTACGTAATATTAAACCTCACTCTCATAACCGGATCAGCAACATTGGCAATCGCTATGCTTTGAAAGAAAAACCTAAATACAACTGTCTATGTTTGTTGTTGTTTGTTGACAATTACTTTTCAAATATATGTATTATATGGGAGCCGATCAATACGAATGTGAGAGATGGGAGAAACCTTCAACATAACCCTTCATCCATCATAACATTAGAGAACCACAAGAGAAACACTTATAAGAGAAGAACCATATTATTGAAAAGAAAAGGAGATGACTCTGCACAGCTTTTAGCTCCCAAGAGTTTTTTTAATGTTATCACCACAAGATGTGACGTTTCGGGTCACTACCCTTCATCAGACATAAAAGAAACCACAGGCTACACACCTGTATATATACACACAGTAATGACAGGTCACATGACTCATTCGATAGTCAAAAAAAAATAAAAATAAAAATAAATATAATTATAAACAAACAATGACATTATCATTAAAGTGTAGCCCCCCTGAAGTGTGATGACAAAAATACTATAGCATAGAGATGGGACGGTACCACAGCATATATGTATATACACACAATAATATACACATTACCAAAAAATGTGAAATATTCACACCATCACATATTTACATTATAATTTACAATATTTACACTAGTAAAAGATACCTTTGCAACATCCGCAATCATGACACAAAAAGCCCAGTGGCTGTCCACTTCACAAAAGAAAAACACAATGTGAGTACATCAAGGTACACAGGTATTGAACACATCAAACTTCCAAACCGAGGAGGAGACATCAACTCCCAATTACTCAAACGTGAAGCCTACTGGATTTATACACTAGACACACTAAGTCCAAAGGGTCTAAACGAAGACTTTGATCTGAGACCTTTTCTATGATTCATTCTTTTGTGTGTCTTTAGACCTTCCTGTGAGTAAAGGTATCTTTTACTAGTGTAAATATTGTAAATTATAATGTAAATATGTGATGGTGTGAATATTTCACATTTTTTGGTAATGTGTATATTATTGTGTGTATATACATATATGCTGTGGTACCGTCCCATCTCTATGCTATAGTATTTTTGTCATCACACTTCAGGGGGGCTACACTTTAATGATAATGTCATTGTTTGTTTATAATTATATTTATTTTTTTATTTTTTATTTTTTGACTATCGAATGAGTCATGTGACCTGTCATTACTGTGTGTATATATACAGGTGTGTAGCCTGTGGTTTCTTTTATGTCTGATGAAGGGTAGTGACCCGAAACGTCACATCTTGTGGTGATAACTTTAAAAAAACTCTTGGGAGCTAAAAGCTGTGCAGAGTCATCTCCTTTTCTTTTCATGTTTTCTATTATCGACTTTTTTTGCACGCTGCTCAGTATTGGATGTGCACGTCAACCCCACCTTCAAGAACCATATTATTGTCAACAACAAAAAAGGCCAAGGTCTAATGCTGTGAATGAACCTTCTCACAATAAAAATGCTTGTTTTTATATAATAATAATAATGCATCGGTTTTATATCGCGCTTTTCTGGACACTCAAAGTCTCTTCACATGTGTCATTATTCTTTCTCTCCAAACACGGTGGTGATAAACTACCACTGTAGCCACAACTGCCCTGGGGCACACTGACAGAAGCGAGGCAACCAGTCTCCGATCACCACCAACCATTCACACACACACCAGACTCATTCTAGGCAATGGGGGTGAAGTGTCTTGCCTAAGGACACAACGACAGCAGACAGTGGGAGTCGATGGTGAAGGTCGGGCTCGAACCCACGACCCTCTGGCTCAAAGGCCAATTGCCTCTGGTGCTATATACATTCCATAGACAACTATTCCAGTGATGTTATGTTGAATGAGGAAGAGGTTTTGTTATTTTTTCTTTTTTTTCTTTTTTCAGCTGAGCACGAAACTGAATGAAAGCCTTCTGCTCATTCAAGTATTTTGGATTATACAACCCCAACATTCCTCGGTCAGACCAGAAAAGACCAAATGAGCAAATAAAACTGGAGAGGGGCAGTGATGTCAGCGGAGCCTGGCCCAAACCGCAAGAAACCAATGTCTCCTTCGACTGACACAACGACATAGTCTTTGTTTCTGGGCTGTAATCAGGGGAAGCGGCTGGTTCAGTCATGACTCAGTGACGACGGAGAGGTGAGTGGGAAACATGACTAATGAGAGGGTCAACCAGAGGACAGTGTTGTTATCGCAGCATTATGTCACAGGTGTGGGCCAAAGAAAAGGATCGTGAGTGGTACATTCTCTTAAAAACACTTCAGATACATCTTTTATATTGTCATGTCTTTTATAGTGAATTTATATAGTTATTCACACTTAACAGATAACTGTATTTTAGCAAATGGTATGAAATGTAAATGCAAATAACAATAATAATACATTTTCGGTTGTGGAGGATTAAGTTTACTTGTTTGAAGAACCACTTTTTATGTGACATTCATATTTTATCCATTTCACTTTTGACACTTTAACCATTTTAATTTGTTTTGTTTTCAAGCTACTGCGCCCAAATATTTTCCATTGTGGATCAATAAGGTTTTGTCAGCGTCTAAGGCTAGATATTTTAACAGCTTAGGCTCTAATTAGAAGAGAGTTAAAAGCCAAAAGGAAACATGAACATTCTTAGTCTTGTTCTGCTGTTGTGAACTCAGACCAATCAAAACATGCAAAGCAATTAGAAAGTAAATAAATAAACAAAGGCTATTCTGCAAAGTACTGTATGTTTGTCCATTACATTGAATCATAAATCAGTGGGGTTACACACCTGTATGTAAAAGGGGATCCCTGCGCTGCGTCGGGTGGCACACAGTTTAGATGAAGGATCACTGGACTTGACCTCCTCCAGGACCTCGAAGAGCCAGCGTGACGGCAGCCTCTGCAGGGCCTGGCTTCCACTTCTGATCAAAAAGTAGATACAAAAATTCAGATACATTTATTAACACATCTGTCTTTTGTGTAAATTTGCACTGACCACCGATGTTTTTTGACCAACAATACAGAGAAATTGTCTTTATTCGCACATGATCCTGATGATTACAACAATAATTTAACCCATACATACACTTATAACAGGCTTTTGCTTTTGGGCTGTATATACAGATGGTACTGCATGGTAGTAGTTTTATAGTCATGAGATTCTGCTTGGTAATAATATAGACATTTTGTGCGACACCAAACTTTAATTAAAAAAGTGGCGTCTGACCCAGAGATTATGGCCCACAATAAATCTGGCCTTTGTGAAAATCAAGTTGAATCAACCTGCTTCATACCGTTTAATGTTCCCCTTCGCCAAACTGTCTTTATTGTGGTTTGAATGTCTATATTTTGTCGTGTTTGGTAAGAAAATGATTACTACCATTACTACTGCTATTTGAAAGATGTATGTCTTGCGAGATGTACCACAAAATCTTGACCCAGAACAGAATTTAAAAACAAAACCCAAATCAATTGCAGGTTTTTCCAGATATTTATGCCTATGAAAGTAATGACACCTGTATTTGTCGTCTGTACCTGTTGTGTTACTGTCTGTCTATTGTCTGATATGTTTAACTGTGCGTTTGATTTATCTAAACCTGCCTTAGGGCAATAGACGTAATGTAGCTTTGTGCTTATTCCAGCATATGTGTATTGTAATTTGCCGACACCTTGATTCTATTGTCCTGTAGTAAAATGAAAATGAATGAATCATACTCGCATTTGGTCATCGAACAAAAGGTAAACTCCTCCCAAAAGAACACATACGCACATCAGACAAAGCACAAAACTCAAACAAGGGGAAATCTACAACCCTGCATGAGTTGTATACATTTACTTTGTTCCATTCCCATGTGCCTGCCACAACACAAAGGCACTTCCTGGTCTAAACGCGCTACAACACATTTGCACTGTTCCCTGTGGCATCTGCGTCCTCAAATAAAAGCTAAGAATATGGTCTGAAGGAGGTCTGGAGAACACACACCCAAACGAAACCGCTGGAGCTGCAGCTGTTTAACAACTCGCACTGAAGCGGCGAAGGATCAAACAATCCAAAAGTGAGGAAGGAGACAGAAGTGCTGACTGGGCACGATCACACACTCATGATGGGGAGACCAAGAAGATGTGTGTGAAAATAAATGAGATTGTGCGTTGTCAACAAGAAAAATAGAAACTAATTTTAATTGTAACTGGACTACATGCAACATATAATACACAATTGAAAATTACCAATAAAATCCAATTCTGAAAGTTTAAAATTAGTGATACATACATGTACATACATTTTCATTCAAGGTCCACATCTGGATATTATCTATATGTTTTTAGTGGTAGGGGAAACCGGAGTGCTAACGAGATTCGGACCCAAAACCTTGCTGAGAAGCGAGAGTACTTTCCACTTAGCCACTGTGCCGCTTATGTGTGTTTGCGGGAGGTAATGTTGTATGTTGAAGAAAAAAAAAAACAAAATTTCAAAGCACTCTTTGGCATTTTAAGAAATGCTCACAGCGACTGTATCTGCTTCGCAGACTGAATAATTTTGGTGTGAGTCGTTCTATCCTTGAGACGGTCTACAAGAGCCTGGTGGAGAGCATCCTCACCTTTAACATGCTGATGTGGTTTGGCAACCTCAGCATGAAGAACCAAAACAAACTCCAAAGGATCGTGAACCAGAGCTCGAAGATCATTGGGCAGCCACAAAGATCTCTCCAGTGTTTTTTTGAGGAGCGCTTGGGAAAGAAGGCTGAGCTCATCATTAAAGATGCTTCCCATCCGCTAAACCCAAAGTTTGAACTTCTGCCGTCAGGACGGAGATATCGAGTGATATCAGCCAAGAAAAACATTTTTAAAAACTCCTTTGTGCCCAGAGCAGTGAAAGCGGTAAACACTCTTAAGCTTTGAGCAGTCCTGAGGTTGACTCTTGTCTTTAGGCCGGAGGTGGCCTTGTTGGTTTGTTCTTCCAATTGTTCTGTGAATGTAGTGCCACATGATATTGTGCTGGATGTGTGTCTTTTATGTATTTTAAGGTGATAACCAAAGGCAATTTTCCACCTTGGTGGACAATAAAGTTTTCTTATTCTTTCTTATTCTTATTCTTATAGAAGTAGAGAATTGCATGCCGATGTATATTTTTTGTATCCTTAATTATTGTTTAGCCATATAATTTTTACTTGATGAGTAAATAGTAAGTAGTCTCATTATTATTATTATTATTATGCGTAAGGGACAAAAAGATATAAATTATGTTCTTTTTACTGGCATAACCTTTGTTAATATAATAAACATGTGTGCATACTTGGCTCAACTTCCGACAACTCTTAAGCCTTTTAACTTTTTTTTTTAAAACCACAGAAATCCTAAATGACAGATAGTGAAAGACTCCCTTGGTGCATTACAGAAACATAAGAACATACAAAGTCATATCCGGGGGGCATCAAAAGCCTTTGGTTATGCACCCCACAATCAACACCCCATAACGCCGTCCCGGCCGCAACGCCGTATTCACACATCTCTGATTTTAACCACTGAAAATGGGAACTCACTGCTGCTCCCTATAAACAAAACAGAACATTCTGTTTCAGCTGCTTCGGACTCAAAAGGAGGTTTGAACAAAGTCTCGAGGGCCATTGCAGCTCGTCACCTGCCACAGACTAAAGATGGCTCCCACAAACCAGCGCCGAGCAAAACAGGGCGACCGCAGGGACGTTAAAACTGTCAGTAAAAGTCCCAAGGGTTTAATCCAGTCTGTAATGTGCAGCTTTTGAAGTTCAGGGATGGTGATTGGTAAAATGTCTATCAGAGTGAATGTGCACTAATCCAAAAACAATCAGGACAGTTTAACATGGTATTTCACTTTAGTTGATAGAGAAAATATGTATTAATGTATTAACTAATGTAGACTAGAAGTGGGTGGACTTTCGTCATAATCATAAAAATCATAAAATAAGTCCTGCATATTACTGTCTTTTGTATCCACACATAGTTTAACCAGAGACCTGTTTTGGGACTGAAGATGTAAATTATTTGTTTTGCCATTTACAACTTGTGCATTTTGTTCATTGTGTGTTATCCCAGTCAGACACATACAAAAAAAACTATTAGTGGTGTTATTACCAAAAAGACACAAAATGAAGTATACATTGAATTAGTAATCTGATTCAAATAGAGCTTTTCTAATTGAATGATATGAAAGATAAACTTGATTAATCTCACATTGGAGTGTTGATGAGTTGTTTATCATGCTGTTTTAAATGCTTCAAAGTAGAGATACAGATTTTGGACTTCCAGTGTTTTCCGAATCCCAATAAGAAACCCAGGGCGGAACTGAAACCAATACAGGTTTTCCCTCAAATCACAGCCAATCGCTTGGAAAATGTGTCCAGTTGTCTTTTTAAACTACTATGTATGCTAAAAGAAACTACAAAACCACTTTTTTGGAGATTCATTTGAAAGTATGATATTCTGGGTGAAAACCACCCAGCAAAATGGTCTTATTAAAACAATTGAAAGCCCAGAATAGAGTATCAGCCTTCCCCAATATCATAGAACCATCCAACCAAAGTTCTGGAAAAAATGTGTATTACCCGATGTGGAGTTTATCTATGGAATGGTCTAAATTATTATTTAAAAAGCTGTGCAAATATCTATGTATTCAAGAAGTTATACAAGCAATTCATTTACAAGCAATATGCTGATCAAGGGTAAAAGTGAAAGCTCAATTTGATCAAATACCAAGGATTAAACTACACCAAGATCTTCCTGTACCAAAATATGATTTAGCCTCTGGTGATCGTTACAATCATAAAGCTAACCCTGAAAGAAATACATATAAAGACTTGCAATTTCACCAACACTAATAATTAGGATATCAACTTTCAAGCCCTCAGTACTGATTGATGTATGTGCTTATTCTTTAAATCATGATTCTGTTTATATGTATGTAACATGTTCATACTAAAGATTGCTCAAGTTTATGCTTAAAGGACAACTCACCCTCAAATCCACTTTTTTTTGCTGATAAACTGTATAAATGAGTGTCCAATAGTGTTGTCTACATATCCTGGTCATAATCTTGTCACTTTGGTGCAAATTAGTTGAAAGTTAAACTTTCTGCCTAAAACCGTCTGTGAGGCGCCATCTGCTGGCGACCTGTATTATTACATTTGAATTTTGAATCTGGCGCCAACACTGGCGCGGCAGCAAGACCTGACGTCTGAAGCAAGACCTGACGTCAACAGCCCCCCGCCCAGAGCAATGTAAACGGCCCAGTCTCGTTCACGCCCCCTTTAGTCCTCCAGGCTACGCCCATTTAGAGGAAGATTTGAACAGGAAATGTGAGTGACGTAAGCTCCGAGGAGCGGGGGTGAGAACCACTTTAAGAAAACCCAAATTTAAATGAATTATTAGCTCAGAATAAAACGGCTACTTTCCAAAACTCCGTAGCACTACTATGAACTACTTTCTGAGAGAATCCTTGGCGAGTTCCAAAACATTCGGAAACAAACAGACGGAGGTCATGATGAAATGACTCCACACTGTATTTTACTTATTATTGTGAGCTGGAATGCTGTAATTTCACTACCATTTGAAATAATGATCCCTGCTTGTAATCACAGCCTATTATACCTGAAGACTGATACTGAGGGAACCTACCCCGGGGTAATTACAAGGCACTGGTCCCACATGGGTTATAAAGCCCAGTCATTCAGATGGATATTACCTTTCAGGCCTAAATGTGACCACAGCTACACACCTGCACAACATGTCGGTGAGGCGCACGAAACCCACATAAGCCAGTTCAAAGGCGCCACGGTGCCGCGACTGGAGGAGCTGCTGACGGAAGTACAGGCCCACCCCCTCCACCTGTGAAAGAGAGAGGGAGGAGAGGAGAGAGAGGGAGAGAGGGAGAGTAAACAAGAGACAGAGCGGGGAAGAAATATCATGATGGTTAAAATACAACTGCCTCTTATTAAAGCCCGAGCAACGCAATTTTACAAGCAACATACAGTTGACAAAAGTGTTGCTCAAAAAACAACACAAAACATAACACAATTGATACAACACAAAAACAGAACAGCTGTGACTCCAAGCTTCTCACTTCTGTCATCACTGCGTGTGGAGAGAATTGGAAATGATTAGTACAACAAGAATTGGTCTAAGAAAAACTCTGTATACATAAAGATTACTTGCTTATTTACGAAGTTTATATACTTGGCCAATCAGAATGAATGGGCCAGGCAATGTAACTGTATAAGGTGATTCCTCAAGTCAAAGAAAATAATCTTAAGGGACGTAAAAACAGGAAACTACACAACTACACCGAACCACCGACCTTCTTGCCATGAGACCAGAGAGCTACCCACCATCCACTGTGCTGCTATGATCTGGAGCAGTCTTCCTGTACAGGGCATCAGGACACTCTCTGCCACCAAATACAAAATGTATTCCTCGATAGAAATGTTCTCCATAACTACAGTTTAAGGGGAAGTAAGCAAATGTATTTACTGAAATGTAAAACCACTCTCAAATTAAGTTTCAGTGCGTGGGGCTTCTCTTTGGAACGGATTATCAGAGGATTCAAAAACATGCTCAAAAATTATTCTGCTCAAAACAATAAAAGAGAAGAACATGGAAGAAAGAGTGTGTGTCTGTGTCTGTGTGCGTGTCTGTGTCTGTGTGCGTGTCTGTGTGCGTGTCTGTGTCTGTGTGCGTGTCTGTGTCTGTGTGCGTGTCTGTGTCTGTGTGCGTGTCTGTGTCTGTGTGCGTGTCTGTGTCTGTGTGCGTGTCTGTGTCTGTGTGCGTGTCTGTGTGTCTGTGTGCGTGTCTGTGTGTCTGTGTGTCTGTGTGTCTGTGTGCGTGTCTGTGTGTCTGTGTGCGTGTCTGTGTGTCTGTGTGTCTGTGTGCGTGTCTGTGTCTGTGTGCGTGTCTGTGTGTCTGTGTGTCTGTGTGTCTGTGTGTCTGTGTGTCTGTGTGTCTGTGTGTCTGTGTGTCTGTGTGTCTGTGTGTCTGTGTGTCTGTGTGTCTGTGTGTCTGTGTGTCTGTGTGTGCGTGTCTGTGTGCGTGTCTGTGTGTCTGTGTGTCTGTGTGTCTGTGTGTCTGTGTGTCTGTGTGCGTGTCTGTGTCTGTGTGCGTGTCTGTGTGTCTGTGTGCGTGTCTGTGTGTCTGTGTGCGTGTCTGTGTGTCTGTGTGCGTGTCTGTGTGTCTGTGTGTCTGTGTGCGTGTCTGTGTGTCTGTGTGCGTGTCTGTGTGTCTGTGTGCGTGTCTGTGTGTCTGTGTGCGTGTCTGTGTGCGTGTCTGTGTGTCTGTGTGTCTGTGTGTCTGTGTGTCTGTGTGCGTGTCTGTGTCTGTGTGCGTGTCTGTGTGTCTGTGTGCGTGTCTGTGTGTCTGTGTGCGTGTCTGTGTGTCTGTGTGCGTGTCTGTGTGTCTGTGTGCGTGTCTGTGTGTCTGTGTGCGTGTCTGTGTGTCTGTGTGCGTGTCTGTGTGTCTGTGTGCGTGTCTGTGTGTCTGTGTGCGTGTCTGTGTGTCTGTGTGCGTGTCTGTGTGTCTGTGTGTCTGTGTGTCTGTGTGTCTGTGTGCGTGTCTGTGTGTCTGTGTGTCTGTGTGTCTGTGTGCGTGTCTGTGTCTGTGTGCGTGTCTGTGTGTCTGTGTCTGTGTGTCTGTGTCTGTGTGTCTGTGTGTCTGTGTGTCTGTGTGTCTGTGTGTCTGTGTCTGTGTCTGTGTGTCTGTGTGTCTGTGTGTCTGTGTGCGTGTCTGTGTCTGTGTGCGTGTCTGTGTCTGTGTGCGTGTCTGTGTGCGTGTCTGTGTCTGTGTGCGTGTCTGTGTGCGTGTCTGTGTCTGTGTGCGTGTCTGTGTGCGTGTCTGTGTCTGTGTGCGTGTCTGTGTCTGTGTCTGTGCGTCTGTGTCTGTGTGCGTGTCTGTGTCTGTGTGCGTGTCTGTGTCTGTGTGCGTGTCTGTGTGCGTGTCTGTGTCTGTGTGCGTGTCTGTGTGTCTGTGTGTCTGTGTCTGTGTCTGTGTGTCTGTGTGTCTGTGTGTCTGTGTGCGTGTCTGTGTCTGTGTGCGTGTCTGTGTCTGTGTGCGTGTCTGTGTGCGTGTCTGTGTCTGTGTGCGTGTCTGTGTGCGTGTCTGTGTCTGTGTGCGTGTCTGTGTGCGTGTCTGTGTCTGTGTGCGTGTCTGTGTCTGTGTCTGTGCGTCTGTGTCTGTGTGCGTGTCTGTGTCTGTGTGCGTGTCTGTGTCTGTGTGCGTGTCTGTGTCTGTGTGCGTGTCTGTGTCTGTGTGCGTGTCTGTGTGCGTGTCTGTGTCTGTGTGCGTGTCTGTGTGCGTGTCTGTGTCTGTGTGCGTGTCTGTGTGCGTGTCTGTGCGTGTCTGTGTGCGTGTCTGTGCGTGTCTGTGTGCGTGTCTGTGCGTCTGTGTGCGTGTCTGTGCGTCTGTGTGCGTGTCTGTGCGTCTGTGTGCGTGTCTGTGCGTCTGTGTGCGTGTCTGTGTGTCTGTGTGCGTGTCTGTGTGTCTGTGTGCGTGTCTGTGTGTCTGTGTGCGTGTCTGTGTGTCTGTGTGCGTGTCTGTGTGTCTGTGTGTCTGTGTGTCTGTGTGTCTGTGTGTCTGTGTGTCTGTGTGTCTGTGTGTCTGTGTGTCTGCGTGTCTGTGTCTGTGTCTGTGTCGTGTGTGCGTGTGTGCGTGTCTGCGTGTCTGTGTGCGTGTCTCTGTCTGTGTCTCTGTCTGTGTCTCTGTCTGTGTCTCTGTCTGTGTCTCTGTCTGTGTGTCTCTGTCTGTGTGTCTCTGTCTGTGTGTCTCTGTCTGTGTGTCTCTGTCTGTGTGTCTCTGTCTGTGTGTCTCTGTCTGTGTGTCTCTGTCTGTGTGTCTCTGTCTGTGTGTCTCTGTCTGTGTGTCTCTGTCTGTGTGTCTCTGTCTGTGTGTCTCTGTCTGTGTGTCTCTGTCTGTGTGTCTCTGTCTGTGTGTCTCTGTCTGTGTGTCTCTGTCTGTGTGTCTCTGTCTGTGTGTCTCTGTCTGTGTGTCTCTGTCTGTGTGTCTCTGTCTGTGTGTCTCTGTCTGTGTCTCTGTCTGTGTGTGTGTGTCAGTGTGTGTGTTAAACGACAGAGGTTGAGCCCAATAAGCAGTACATGTATTAAGCACTTTTAAGTTGCCTTGTGAATTGATATAAATTCCTAAACTGGGCAGATATTTGTAAATCAATGCAGATACCTGTAGCTGAACTTACTCAGCCGTGTCTATGTTTGGTAAGAAAACGGCTTTGCCCACAGTCTTGTTTTGAAGGTTTTTTTCATGTGGAGCGTGAGAGAGCAGCATGTCCCTGGCGTGACAAGTGCACTGAGCCATCCACATAATGGCCACTGTCGGTAAAACCATCCAGTTACTAATAGTGTGAGCGACATTATTCTTAACATACACAGTGCGGCGGAGAGTAAACTGGAGTGTGTTGCAGGTGAAGCGACGGGCGAGGCGAAAGCGGGACCTATCATTAAACTGTGGAGCACCGCATTTGCCCGGCCTCGGCTTAGTCAGGGGTGGCACAGAGGGCACGTGGAGGAGTGGCACCAAACAAGGCCCCATGTCGGGAGAAAATACAGAGTGTAAAAGTCCCGCGGGTCAACAACTGTGAGACAGACCTCCACACAACCTGAGATTAGAGCAATAACCAGAGCTGGTCCAGTCTAGGGGAATAGTGCACAATCGTGACTCAGATAATCTGATAATTATGAGAATACAGGAGTCAAATCTGTGCAATGCAATAACTCTAATGTATCATTACTTCAATTATTGTTATTATTACACTATTCGATTAGAAAAGATGAGAACATGGTTAAATATCTGCAATTAAGTTTATATTCTACAAGCCAAGCCTAGAGCAATGCCATGTTTAAAATGTCTCAAAACAGTAGTCTAATTGGGTTTAACATTTAACATTTTTAGCCTAATACTTAAGTTCCATTCTATTCCATCCATTCAATCTTCTTCCGCTTCATCCGTTGCCGGGTCGCGGGGGCAGGAGTCTAAGCAGAGACGCCCAGACTTCCCTATCCACACACACCTCCTCCAGCTCGTCCGGGGGGACCCCAAGGCGTTCCCAGGCCAGCTGAGAGACATAGTCCCTCCAGCGTGTCCTGGGTCTTCCCCGGGGCCTCCTCCCGGTGGGACGTGCCCGGAACACGTCCCCAGGGAGGCGTCCAGGAGGCATCCGGAACAGATGCCCGAGCCACCTCAACTGGTTCCTCTCGACGTGAAGAAGCAGCGGCTCTACTCCGAGCTCCTCCCGTGTGACCGAGCTCCTCACCCTATCTCTAAGGGAGCGCCCAGCCACTCTGCGGAGGAAGCTCATTTCGACCGCTTGTATCCGCGATCTCGTTCTTTCGGTCATTACCCAAAGCTCATGACCATAGGTGAGGGAGGGAACGAAGATTGACCGGTAAATCGAGAGCTTTGCCTTTCGGCTCAGCTCCCCCTTTACCACAACTATAACTTAAGTTAAAGTTAGAAAAATTATGATGTAGCAATAACAAAATGCAAGATTGAAATAGTGCTAATCATGTAAAAAACAAACTACAATCTTGCTAGGCTTGGGGATATAATAATAATAAGGCTTATATGGCACTTTTCAAAAACTCAAAGACGCTTCACAATTCAGGACGGACACACACACACACACACAATTAGACACACAAAACTAAAAATCTAAAAGCAGGAAAGAAGAGTAGAAAGCTGAAACTAAGTCGTATTCTTGGAGGTGAAGAGATGAATTTTAGCTATTTTTTGAAGGAGTTTAGAGAGTCCGAGTTTCAAAATGTAGCCATAACATGCGATAACATTCATGAGATTAAAAAACGTAACGAAATGAAACTTAATATACTTGA